CATATGTAAACCATTATGTTGATAGATATAAGCATATATAGGATTGCTTTTAAAGTGTTTGGGGCTTTTTTAGAGAAATAAGGTTAAGGGAGGAGTTATTTTCCTTAAATTAAGGAAAATAAAATGAATTATTTCAAAGGTGCATCATGCTGATTAATTTTTTTTAAAATGAAATTTAAATGATTCATTTTAATTTCAAATTTTCATACTATTTTTCTGTTATTTTGGGGTGGTTTATTTTGTACATGTGGCTTGATTCCTCTGCTCCTGCCATTCAGTATTTCTACCTAAGAGCAGACAAACTGTAAAAGTAGTTTTTTCCCCCTGAACACCTACTTTCAAAAGTCTCTTTTGCCTATTTTCTTAGTGAAAAGAAGTAAGAGTCACACTGATGTATTTATAAAGTTGAAGAAAGGAGAAAAGGGCAATGGAAATGATACCTTAAACATAAAAGAAACAAGAGTGTTAGTTTTACTTTTAATACCAATTTTGGGCAGACTCGGATATTTCTGATAGGAGATCCTTCCACCTGAAAAAATTCAGTCAGTTGTACTTTATGGCCATCTCCCCCAAAATATCATATGACTAGAATACATCAGCTTAGTCGTAACTGGCATTGATAAAACAGAAATACTAAAAATTCAGACACAAATGTCTGTTGCAACGTTCGTTGTAACTGGTGTAATGGCCCTCAGGAATCCCAGGCCCTGGAGGTAAGAGAGGAAGCCTGCAGAAAGGATGACCCTCCCTTGGTCGAGGAGGACTGTATGAAAGATCGCTTTAGCAATCTGGACTCCCACAAATCCATGGGCCCCGATGGAATGCACCCACGAGTGCTGAGGGAGCTGGCGGATGTCATTGCTGAGCCACTCTCCATCATCTTTGAGAGGTCCTGGAGGACAGGAGAGGTGCCCGAGGACTGGAGAAAGGCAAATGTCACTCCAATCTTCAAAAAGGGCAAGAAGGAGGACTCAGGGAACTACAGGCCGGTCAGCTTTACCTCCATCCCAGGAAAGGTGATGAGGCAGCTTATCCTGGAGGTCATCATCAAGCAAGTGGAGGAAAAGAAGGTTATCAGGAGTAGTCAGCATGGATTCACCAAGGGGAAATCATGCTTGACCAATCTGATAGCTTTCTACTGGCTGGGTAGATGAAGGGAGAGAAGTGGCTGTTGTCTACCTCAACTTCAGCAAGGCTTTTGATACTGTCTCCCATAACATCCTC